TTTTTTTTTTTTTTCTCTTTTGCCTGTAATCTACAGCAGGAAATACCTTTCACATGGGCTTCCAGCAAGCACTTAAAAATATACATAATGCCACGGAAATTGCAAGAAACCACACTTAACCCTCATTAGGCCTCACACATGGTGTTATTTGCAATTCATTTTATTTTTATTTGGATTAAGAAGTGCTGATTGTAACGGGGCACCACGGCTCATAATCCCAGCACTTTAGGAGGCTGAGGAGGGTGCATCACCTGAGCTCAGGAGTTCAAGACCAGCCTGGGCAACATGATCAGACTTCATCTCTACTAAAAATACAAAAAAAACATAGACGGGTGTGGCGGTGCACGTCTGTGGTCGCCGCCACTGGATGGAAGGGGGAGCGATGGAGGTTGCAGTGAGCCGAGACCATGTCACTGCACTTCAGCCTGGGTGACAGCTGAAGGCGTGATCTTGGCTCACTGCAACCTCTGCCTCTCGGGTTCGAGCGATTCTCCTATCTCAGCCTCTCGAGTAGCTGGGATTACAGGTGTGCACCACCACGCCCAGCTAATTTTTATATTTTTAGTAGAGACAAGGTTTCACCATGTTAGCCAGGCTGGTCTCAAACTCCTGACCTCATGTGATTCACTGGCCTCGGCCTCACAAAGCGCTGGGATTTGTATGTGAGCCACCGTACCTGGTATTTTGTTTTTTCTTTTTGAGACAGAGTATTGCTCTGTCTCCCAAGCTGGACTACAATGGCGCGATCTCAGCTCACTGCAACCTCTGCCTCCCGGGTTCAAGCTAACCTCCTGCCCTAGCCTCCTGAGTAGCTGGGATTATAGGTGCCCGCCACCATTGCCAGCTAATTTTGTATTTTTAGCTGAGATGGGGTTTCACCATGTTGACCAGGCTGGTCTCAAACTGGTGACCTCGGGTGATCCACCTGCCTCAGCCTCCCAAAGTGCTGGGATTATAGGCGTGAGCCACCGTGCCCAACTTCCCCTCTGCTCTTACTAGGCAGAGCACAGCTGAGCTCGCTCAATGTACACCCTCAGGTGCCTTTTGTTTGTGCATCTGTTTCGTGGCTTTGAGTCAGGCCTCTGTGGGGCTAAGGTTGCGCTCTGACTGGCAGCCACACGGAACCCACCCTGGACAGAGAAAACCAAAACCCTCCCTAGACAGAGAGACTCTCTTTCCCCTCCCACTGCCCAGGTCTGACCTGTCCTGGGACAGACTCTGTGCGTCTGGAGTCCTCAGCTGCTGCTGGCGTCGGGGGATCGGGGTGCAGGTGGGGGACTCCTCATCACTGGATGGCGTTATGTAAATGATGGGCACCTCCAGGAGCTTCCAGGACTCAGAGGCCAGGCCCTGACCCCTGTCACCCTGTGGCTGCTGCTTCCGCTGCCCAGCTGGGAGGTCAGGTGAGCCCTGGGGACTGCCTTGTGCCACTATGGTCTCCCAAGGGGTCAGGTGTAGGACCTCATCCATGAGGAGGGTCTGGAACAGCAGCGTGGTCTCTGGGGGAGAAAAAAAGAGAGGTGAGGGGTAGAACTTCTGCTTAAGCCCCTTACCACCTTCCCCTGTGGCTCCACTAAGAGAAATTAGCTATGATCAAGAGTACAGGTGGGGGCCAGGTGCAGCGGCTCATGCCTCTAATCCCAGTTCTCTGAGAGGCTGAGGCAGAAGGATCACTTGGAGCCAAGAGTTTGAGACCAGTCTGGGCAGCATAGCAAGACCCCATCTCTACAAAAAGTTTAAAATTAGCTAGGCATGGTGGCATGTCTCTATAGCCCCAGCTACTCGGGAGGCTGAGGCGGTAGGATCATATGAGTCTCGGAATTTGAATCTAGAGTGAGCTATGCTGGTGCCACTGTACCCCAGTCTGGGCAACAGATGAGACCCTGTCTCTACAAAAAGCCAAAAATTAGCTGGGCCTATTGGCACACGCCTATAGTCCCAGCTACTCAGGAGGCTGAAACTGTAGGATCGCATGAGCCCAGGAACTGGAGGCTACAGTGAGCTGTGATCGCCACTGTACTCCGGCCTGGGCAACAGAGCGAGACCTTGTCTCAGAAAAGAACAACACACAAAAAAATGCATGATCTGGGGGACAGAGAGTTCTGGGTGGGAGTACCACCTCTGCTAACCTCCTTCCCTTATGACCCCAAGCCTGTTTCCTCTTTTGGAAACTCAAGATCCCGATAGGACCCCGTATGGTGGCTGGGCAGTATCTGGAGCGCTCTGACATGCAAGGCGGTAGGCCAGGGTCCCAACACAGTAAGTGCCCGGTTAATCCCATTTGCCTGTGGCTGGAACTGAGATTTATTGAACCACATAACTCCTAGCTCATATGTGGGGGTCTGGGCTATTTTTTTGGACAGCTCTGGGCATTCTCTGTCCCCACTCCTGCCCGTATCCCTTCCACGCACAGGGTCAGGAAGGAGCCAGGCCTCAGTGGGCACCAGAGGCCTGGGCCTGGGTAACAGCTGGCCAGACAGACAGAGAGGCGGAATCAGGATTCCCCTTCCCTGTTTGCTTAGGATTTGCCCCTCCCAAGACAAACAAAGGGAGGTGGCCGGCTAGGGCCTCCTGGGCCTGGGAGGAAGCCAGGTCAGTTTCTGCGCTGCAGCTGTGATACTGGAGGCTGCCTGGGTCTTGGGGGGGCCAGACAGGAGTCTCTCTGTCCTCATGACAGGGGCTTCTTGGCACCCAGCTGCTCAGGGAATAGGGAAGGAGGACCTTCGGGGACCAGAGAGGGTTTCCCCTGGCTTGGGAAAGACCTTGACCCCTACTGGCCAGGCCTGGATCTTCTCAGGCACCCAAGTACCCCAATACCCCTACCTTATGGGGTCCTCCTCCTTCTGTCCACAGAGGGTTCAGGCTTGCAGGGGAAGGACGGTAAGCCAGGCCCTTCCTTTCCCCTGGGAGTCCCAGCTGGGCCAGAGGGTCATGACCTTGCAGGCTGAAATAGCCATGACCATGTCCGGCTGGAGTTGTGTTACTCTCTGGCCAACTGCTCCTGGGAGAAAAGACAGAGTGGGGATGGAGATGGGGTGCTCATGCCAAGGAGGAGGTAGAAGAAACCCCCTCATTTTTCCCTTATTGGCCGCACAGGGAGGAAAGGCTATCCACCCCAGGCCTCTCGTGGGGTAGCGCTCGCGTTGGCCCGTGGCCAGCCACAGTGTAGCATCTCCAACTGCATTGCAGCGCGAGTCCCTGGACAGAGAGGTCCCCTTTCTAGTCCCACCACCCAGGTCTCACCTGTCTTGGGACAGACTCTGCAGGTCTGGAGTCCTCAGCCACTGCAAGCATTGCTCCTCCAAGTTCAGAAATCACCCCCAGGTGGGCAAATCCCAATTCCAGTCCTCACCTTCCCCAACTGCCCTTAGAAGCCCTGACTCTGGGAGATGCTGCTTCTTCCTGGAAGGCTTCCTTGGCCTCTGGGTTGCCACAGGTTCCTCTCCTCCCACCTCATGCAGCTCCATCTCACCTCGTGCACAGCTCCTGCTCCTTGCCCTGCTCCGTAAAAGCTGGCATTACCCACGGCTGAGGTCTGGGCACTTTTCTCTTATTTTTCCAGTTGTTTTTTTTTTCTTTGAGATGGAGTCTTGCTCTATTGCCCAGGCTGGAGTGCAATGGGGCAATCTCAGCTCACTGCAACCTCTGCCACCCAGGTTCAAGTGATTCTCTGGACTCAGCCTCCCAAGTAGCTGGGATTACAGGCATGAGCCACCACACCCGACTAATTTTTGTATTTTTTTAGTAGAGATACGGTTTCACCATGTTGACCAGGATGGTCTCGATCTCTTGACCTGATGATCCACCCGCCTCGGCCTCCCAAAGTGCTGGGATTACAGGCTTGAGCCACCGTGCCTGGCCTATCCAGTATCTTTTAAAAGAGATACACAATTAGCCTCCCTCTGTTTCATTTGCAGCTTGCTGTCCCCCATCATGATTGTTTCTGTGATTCCTCCATCCACGCACAAAGCTCCGCTTCATAAACTTTAACTCTTATCGAGTATCCCTTGTTGGAAGAAACCACAGTGGCTACTTCTTCTATTCAAGGTCAGTAGAGTTCTTTCCTCTTCCCCCTGTGGTGGCCCCGAACCTCCCATTTCCTGTCTCCTTGTACCAGAGGTTTCTTTGCAGAAGTTTTGTTTAAACTTTCTTTTTGTCTTTGTTTCTTCTTCTTCTTCTTTTTTTTTTTTTTCTCTTTTGCCATGTTTGTAAAGCTGGCAGCTTTTTTCACCTTTTTTTTTTTCCAATGACTTTTTTTTTTTTTTTCTCTTTTGCCTTTGCTATACAAAAAGTAAGTTAAGGTATCTGATGGAAATAAACATAATTAAATAAACAAAGGGAATAAAGGCAAAAGATAGCCCTCAGAAATACAAGAATTCCTAAACAGTGGCCTTGCTTCTGAGCTTACCAGTAGCCAAACATTAACAAAACAAACTTATCAATTGCTCAGGAGAAGCAGAGCTTTTTCTGGCACTAAGATCGGAGAGAAATTCTTCCAGGGAGCCCTGTAGGATGGAATGCTCAATGGCATTCATGTGAAAAATAAAACTGAGATGAGGATGGTTCCACCGATGACTTCTTATCACATCCTTTACTATACAATGAGATAAGGTGCCAACGTACAACTCAGTACAAGGAAATCTATAGGGGCAAAGCCATACTACCTAAGGATTCAGCCTTCTGGTCCCATCTGGCCAGAAATAAAATTTGAAATATTTAGGAGAATGAGTAGATCTCAAAGCCTTTAGACAACCTTCTATTACTAGCTTTCCTCCTGTGACTGAGAGTCCAGTTGATCAGTAGAGATTAATAGATGTTATCTTTGCCTAGAGTTTGAAGTAGAATTTGATTATTCTTCATTGCCAGGAAAGGGCAGTGACATGAGCTTTAACAAACAGTTCATGCTAGGAGTACAGACTGTGTCCTATGACTGAGTGATCTGCCTAAGATCAAGGGAAAAATCTGGAAGACTCATCTAACAAAGTGTAAAACTAAGGCTTTATAAGTTGAAGGGGACTGACTACTAATTAACTGCCAGTGAAAACAAAAATCAACATCTCAGATAACAGAAATCAGAATCACTATAATGCTTCACCAACAATGTCCAGTTTACAATTTTTAAGGACAAATAAATAGGAGACTCCCAGTTTCTAGTCTGGCATGTAAGGAGGTTGACAGTCATCACTCCATTCTAACAACAAGTAAAAAGCTGAACAAACTAAAAAATCAACAATTATTAGGTCTTTCAGAGAGGTGAGGTCACAGGGCAAACTACTGCCTCCAAAATCAGAGAGACAGACAGGCAAATAGAAAGAATCACAACTTACCAGAGCAGAAACCCGCAAGCAGAAACCTCTGCAGGAACCAGTGCCAGGAGTAAGGAAAACCTGAACTGTAATTGACAAATTGCTGGAGGCTCAGGGTGGACAAGTGTGAGAGAGAAAAAACCCCAGTAGGACCCATTTATCAAGCCCCGCCCCCAACACAAACACACACACTTTTGTGAATTTTTACCTCGAGGAGCTCAACCCAGTTCTTACAGTAAATATTGGAGAAAAATCCCCTCATCCTTCCAAGAGGGGTAGGATAAAAGTAATTTTTAAATATACCAAAATGTTCTATTCTTTTTAACAGGGCTTGCCCTCAGGAGAAACTCTTTTACCAGAGCTTAAATTACGTAGGTTTTTCTCACAGCCTAACTGACCGAAGGGAAGGGAAATACCCAGCTGTAGCCACTCTAGCTGTTCCACCTAAGAGGAGGGAAGGGGAAAACTAAGAAGCACTTGTGAAGTTCATAGTCCAAAGACACAGGCTCACCAAAAGACTGAGACTTCATAATAACCTACCCAACGGAGAAGGAACCAGAAAACCAACTCTGGTAATATGATAAACAAGGCTCTTTAACACTCCCCCAAAAATCATACTAGCTCACTAGCAGTGATCCAAACCAAGAAAAAAAAACGGTGATTTAGTTGAAAAAGAATTCAGGAGGTTAGTTATTAAGCTAATTAGGGAGGCACCAGAGAAAGGTAAAGCCCAATGCAAGAAAATCCAAAAAACAATACAAAAAGTGAAGGGAGAAATATTCAAGGAAATTGACAGCTTAAAGGAAAAACACTTAAAACTTCAGGAAACATTGGACATACTTATAGAAATGCATCATGCTGTGGAAAGTCTCAGCAATAGAACCAAACAAGCAGAAGAAAGAAATTCAGAGCTTGAAGACAGGTCTTCCAATCAACCCAATCCAACAAAGACAAAGAAAAAAGAATAAGAAAATATGAACAAAGCCTCCAAGGAGGCTGGGATTATGCTAAACAACCAAACTTAAGAATAATCAGTGTTCCTGAGGAGGAAAAGAAATCTAAAGGTTTGGAAACTATATTGGGGGAATAATTGAGGAAAACTTCCCTGGCCTTACTAGAGACCTAGACATCCAAATACAAGAAGCACAAAGAACACCTGGGAAACTCATTGCAAAAGCATCACCAGGTAACCTATAAAGGAAAACCTAATACAAAAATATGAGGTAGCCTATAAAGGAAAACCTATCAGTATTAACAGCAGATACTCCACAAGCTAGAAGGGATTGGGGCCATATCTTCAGCCTCCTCAAACAGAACAATTCTGTCAAGAATTTTGTATCCAGTGAAACTAAGCATCATATATGAAGGAAAGATATAGTCTTTTTCAGACAAACAAATGCTGAGAAAATTCACTACTACCAAGTCACCACTACAAGAACTGCTAAAAGGGGCTCTAAATATTGAATCAAATCCTGGAAACACATTAAAACAGAACTTCTTTAAAGCATAAATCTCACAGGACCTATAATAAAAAAAAACACACACAATTTGAAAAGCAAAAACAAAAAACCAAGGTACACAGGCAACAAATAGCACAAGGAATGGAATGGTACCTCACATCTTGATACTAACATTGAATGTACATGGTCTAAATGCTCCGCTTAAAAGATACAGAACTGCAGAATGGATAAGAATTCACCAACCAAGTATCTGCTGCCTTCAGGAGACTCACCTAACACATAAGGACTCATATACATTTAAAGTAAAGGGGTGGAAAAAGGCATTTCATGCAAACGGACACCAAAAGCGAGCAGGGAGCTATTCTTACATCAGACAAAACAAACTTTAAAGCAACAGCAGTTAAAAAAGACAAAGAGAGAGACTATATAATGGTAAAAGGCCTTGTCCAACAGGAAAATATCACAATCCTAAGCATATATGCACCTAACACTGGAGCTCCCAAATTTATAAAACAGTTACTAATAGATGTTAAGAAATGAGATAGACAGCAACACAGTAATAGTGGGGGACTTCAATACTCCACTGACAGCACTAGACAGGTCATCAAGACAGAAAGTCAACAAAGAAACAATGGATTTAAACTATACCTGAGTACAAATGGACTTAACAGATATATACAGAACATCCCATCCAACAACTGCAGAATACACATTCTATTAAAGAGTGCATGTAACTTTCTCCAAGATAGACCATATCATAGGTCACAAAGTGAGCCTCAATAAATTTAAGAAAATTGAAATTAT